ACCCCCTGCTTCCACGGCGGAGCTTCCCTGCGTCCCCTGGCCAAGCTCCAACACTAAGACAATGTTAGCAACACGGCCACTCACCGGCAGCTCAGAGCACATCCCACCCAAAGCACACAGACCTATCCCCCTCTTCCTGGGAACAGCTCAAACCCAAGAGCAGCAGACACAGCATGAAAAGCACAGGATGATTCCCTCACTGAAGAGCAGCCGCAGTGAGTTACAAACAATCTTAGCACAACCTCATTCCTTATTCCTCTCTCCCTTTCTGTAGCGGCAACACACGTCTTGCTCAGACTGCAGCAGATGCTGGACATTTGTTCTGGCACCAGACACTGTCCTGGGACCCTTCTTTCTTCACTCCCTGGGGCCTGATCAACTTCACAGTTCAAGGAATACTAATGCTTCCCCCAAATCCTTGTTGAAAGACAAGGCTGCATTCTTCTACTCCCAACCCACACGGTTACTGTTTAGACGACCCAACTTGCATATGTAAATTGAATTCTTTAGAAACCAGAGTGCAGCAGGATTCCAGACAGGGCGCTTATGGGATGCTCTGGGACGTTTTCTCTATTCTGCACATATTTTTCTGGGGAGAAAAACAGAATTTCTGGCTAGAACTGGGTGGGAAATCGTTTCCCATTCTCTGAAACTTTTCTGAGATTTCAGCAATTTTCCATTCTGTACTGGGACAAAGAAAACAACAACAAAAAAGATCTTTCAGAGTTTTTAAGGAAGAGACTACAGGGCGCGCCGTCTGTCCAAAGTAGCCAACAGCTGGCTCATGTAGAGAAGTCATGTGTGATCCAACAAATTCAGACTGCAAATCTTGAGCTGCTAGTCCCTCAAGTCCCAGGCAAAGGACTTATTTTCCAGGCCACCGTGAGGCTGGTTTCCTTCATTCTCTCTTGACAGACTGGAGACACTTCATATACACCCACTGGAGGAAAGTCCTGAACTCACCTCTCACACGTGCCTGCTAACTGCAGTAACACTGACCTACACTGTCAGCCCTGATGTTTATTAAATGATTTACTTGAAGTAGAAAGGCTCAAAGAACAGTGACTGAGAGAGGCCACTGATGGCAGAATCACTGACTTAGGGGAAATGAGTCCTACTTGATCTTTTGCCCACATCCCAGGAACTGCTCCAGCCATTGGCCTGTTTAGCTATCCTGGGCTGAATAAAGCTCTTTTTTAGCTAAACTACTATTATTGAGTCAAGAGATTATTCACTTCTGAAGCTTTTTTTTTTTTTTAAAGAATACATCTTCACTATTCAACAAGAAACAAGGCAGGAATCCCCCTCCCAAGCTCCAGTGTTGGATGACGTGCTATTACAGCACTGTAGGGTGATCCTAGCTTAATTACTGCTACTTGTAACTGTAAAGGTGCACAAACACATCATGTCCTGAGGGACTATCTTTGTGCTGTGCTGCTAGGACATAACTTCAACTCAAGATTTTTTCTCCCATGCCCTCACTCAGCATGGGCAACTGAATTGCAGCTTTGGCACTGTGCAGAGAGAAGCGATGGATTTAAAGACAAGCTTTTCCTCCAGCCCCAGTCATGAGAGTCTTTATTCAGAAAATCTGAGTCTTGTCCCTAGAGCTGCCACTGCTCCAATAATAGATCATTTGATGCCTTTCTCTTAAATGTCTCTGTGGGTGGAATATCTTTGCTTTGCACAGTACTTTGAGATAATCTGATGTACAGGGCTCATCACTGAGTCAAGCTGGATTCCTTCCTCTCAAGAGCAGATGGTGCTCCCTGAAGGGTTGAGGGTAATGACAAAAGCCACTGTACTTACAAAAAAAACATCTGGATACACTGAATACACTCAGAGAGCAGCAATCGCCTCCAGGTTCATCTGCACTTTCCACCAATCTTTTACTGGAAGTCAGCTGCCCACCGTGCAACCAGTCACCTAGGGTAATCCACCATACAGCACTCGCACCAAGGACAGAAATGCAGAAGGACAGCATGAAACAAGGCAGCCATCTCAAGGGTTATTTAGTTTTCACTGGCACTGGCCCTAAGACCCAAGCTGTTCAGTACGTAAAACTCATACCTCATCTCCATTAGTAGTTTAACTACTGATATAGCTGCCCAGTGAAAACCCTGCTGAAGAGACTTAGCCTAGGTCAGTCACCATTTAGGACCTGACACAGTATTGGTACAAACAAGTCCCAGCACACCCCTACTGCTTTTCATGACTCTAGAATCACAGACAACAGGAGGCATGGAGGGATTCTCCAAGAGATACAATGAGGGCAACCAAAAGGGCCAAAGTAAGCGTGGGAGAATCATTATATGCAGTGTCTTGGGCTCCCATGTGAACCTGCTTGGTGGGGACATGACACTGAATAGCCCAAATTTTTTAATACACGCCTATCTGTCTTTTTCATTTCCCAGTGTGTGATGGCGCTGTGTGTGGTTTAACAGCCGTTGTGCTCCCTGCAAGAACTACCTGCATTTCAGCAACTGTTAAAACGATCCTTTTTGTAAATTTCTTAAGTTCTGGATCTCTCTGGGAAGAAAACAGCTCTCTGACTGAAAGACGCTACGTGCCAGTGACTCACTGGTGTTTTACGCATGCCATAGATATCTCATCTCAGAAAGGCACTACAGAGGAAGTTTTATTAAATTATCCATCCAACTATTTACTTACACCCCAGTGATTTAAATCATTGATATAACTTCCTTAACAGAACAGGGGAGGACAATTCTTCAGCCAGAGTTTCAGAGCCAACCCTTTTACTCCCAGCCTTTGCAGTACATTATTCTCTCTTTATGAACAGCACTGACACTGGGCCTCTATTATCAGCCAGGCTGATAAAGTAGAGATAACACATCAAACCCAGCAGCAAAATCCTGAACTATGTAATGCAGCTCAATGCCTCAGGGTCCAGACCTGACATTAGGAAACACTAAAACAGAAAACAGCAGGGCTTAAGTTCCGCTGACTTCAAACATGATTTTAAATGCTGCACTGGACCAGGGCCGGACACAGGACCTGCCTGGGGGAGGGCAGGAAGATCAAGCAGAGGAGCCACACGATTACAGCATGAACCCCGGGCCGCTGGGCAAAACCAAACATGAAGGCCAGAGGCTTGCAGCAGGCTGTGCTCCTTTTCACATCCTTAAAAACTAACCTTCTGATAGCTCCAGTTACATCTTCGTGATGTTTAAATGTTTTCATCTCGCTAAGAGCACGTGAAGGCCCAGAAAAAGCTTTCCAGTTACACATCAACAAGGTTTTACTAAACGATCAAATGCTTGGCGAGCCCTTGCTCTCCACATGAGTAATGGTTACGAGCGTGCCTGCCCGTAACTGGGACCTTTCTAATGTGATTTACTTCAGCGCTGTTTCAGGAGAAGCCAAGTAGGAAGAGAGTCTTCTGCCAAGGAGGAGATCTCAGAAGACTTCAGATAAAGACCGACGTTCAAAAAACTAGAGGACGGGCATCCTGGTGTGCTGAGAGCCAGCCTGCGCTCGCACGAAAACAGTTGTGTTTTCTTCCCTTGCTGGCTGTTTATCTGGCACTTCAGCGAGGCACTGCTGGTCAGAGATGGACTAATAAGGAGGCAAGGAGGAAGAAGTCTTGGTCAAGAGCCTGAGGAGAACTTGGCAGAGACGATCTGCACCCATCTACTATAACCCACAGCGATTAACTCCTCAGAGGAACAAAAAAAAAGCAGACTTACTGAACAGCTGCTTTTTAGCAGAGAAAACCTAAACATATTTTGGATATTCGAGGCAAGATACTACCAAAAAAAAAAAAAAAAGTCCTCTGCATTTTAGACTAGAATATAGGTTCCTGGTCAATCTAAGAAGTCATGGCAGAAAATGACTATTCAGGTAAAACTTCTGCAGCGGCTGCAGACAAGAATTTGTTTTTTATTTAGGAATATCTATAAGTTTCTATCACTGAACAACTAGAGAAACTTTTATCATTCTAAAGCAGTCCCTTTATGAAGTACCAAGACCACAAAGTCTTTCATCTTAAAAGCTCAACAACAGAAGCTTTGGAGCAGTAACAAAATGATACAGATCTCCACTTTGAAAATCACCACTGTCCACAGACAAATGCTAAGGTAGCCCAGGAACCAGAAGCTGGGATGTGAAGGTCCAACTGAGACTCTTCTATTTTGCAGCAGAAATAAAGTCCAAGATGCCCTCTGTAATATTTGCTCAAACTCAGTTCTTACAAGACTTAAACTGAAAGAAATTTCTAAAAATCATCTGAATATCTCAAATACTCTACATAAATAGTACCAATCACAGCAGGGCAGTGGTCAGGCTGCAGGGGTGAATCAACATTGCAAGTTCTAACATGCTTTTGTTTCTTCTTAGTTTAGCCAAGAGCCAGAATTTTCTGGGTTTGTAATGTCTGATATTAGTATAAATACAACATTCCTGCAATTTTTTCTTCCCTGAAGCACTGACATCCTCTCCACTGGAGCTCCCCATTAGTGTTATTTTTTCTCCTTTCGGGATTTGTTTTACAGTTGCTCTAAGAGATCCCAACCAAGACCAGGGTCTGTTGTACCGAGCCTAGTTACATGTGTAACATGTGAGACAGCCAGTGCTTGCCCCAGACAGGAACCAGTCTAAATAACAAGGCAGACTGGGTGGGATAGGAAACAGAAGCGGAGCAGAAGAACTTGCCTCGAGGCACCCTCCCTGTCAACCCTTGGCCACGGGACCACGATGGGAGCAACGCCCTACCCGCCACACCAGGCTGTCTCCCAGGCACGCAGCAGTCTCGCTGTCCTCCCAAAAAGGCCACAACGTATATATTTTAAATTAGGTATGTTATATATATGGAACAAGTCAGTCAATTTAGCCAAAAATGAGAGTGCATTGCTCAGGGGTTGCAGCAGGAAGGAGTAACCACATGCAGCGACCTCTGCTTGGACAACAGCCATGTCTGCCCCCAGCTGCCCGCACCAGCGCGCGCGAGCCACCCAAGAACCAGGGGTGCCCGCCGTACTCACCGTCCACGGGGCTGAGGTAATCATGGAGGTGCGCGCTGCCGGCTGCTCCCCCGCTCTGCATCAGGAGGTCCCCGTACGGGTTCGGGTGGCTCGCCATGAGCGTCATTTGGTGGTAGTAGTCGGCGGGGTTGGCCCCCGGCGGCGGCGGGGGCAACCCGAACAGGCCTCGCTCCTTCAGGTGCTCGTGAGCCACTGCAGAAGCCGCGAGCGAGGAGAGAAACATGGGGAGAGCGTTGAAAGGGCAGGCGAACGCTCGGCGCCGACGTTGGCGTCCCCGTCTCTCCCCCCGCGCCCCCCACGAGCCCTCTCCCGACGGCCCCGTTAGCGTTTCGTGACGCGCGCTTGGGCGTGTTTCTGTGGACAAAAGAAGCGAAGCTGGGGCCTCTGCATTCCTCCATTTCCGCAAATTTATAAACAATCTCTCATTCCCCCTTCTAATAATCCTTCCGTACGGACACAGGCTTCACCTCGGGGAGGGGGAAGAGGGCCCAATCAGCCAGCAGCAGTAACCCTGTCACCATTAACATCCCTGCCTATTAGGAAAGAAAGACAAATGCAACCCAGTTCCCGATAGCGGCGCAGGGAAATTAAAGCCAAGGTCTAATGCATAGACCTAGGTTTAGCGTCTGGCAGCATAAAACCATTTTGGCTGCCAAAGCCAATTACATTCACTTTCTCCCAGCTGTAATTTTTCAAACCTGCCTCCCCCACCCGCTCACCCCCATTAACTTATTTACCACAGCCCTTTAAAAAAATAATAATAATAAAAAAATGCAACCCAAAACACAATGCCTCTTTTAATACCAAACAATGAAGCTCGCTTTGAAACGGAGGCCGGGGGAGCGTGTACGCACGCAACACTCCAACCTCTGCTGCATGTGGTGGGGAACTTGAACGCTTGCCCTGGTGTGGCCGTAAGGAGGAACCACCCTAAATGAGGAGTCACATTTTGGGGCAGGAAAGGAGGCGTTTGCAGCTCCCCATCACCGCAGCCCCTGGGGGCCTCGTTGTTTTGGGCTGCCCTTTGGTTCACCACAGGGCAGGGCCGCTTCTGTCTGCTGTGGGTCAGGACCTGAGGGACACTTTGATCTGCCAGGTTTGCAGGAGACCAGGTCCCCAGGCCCAGGCCATTCCCTGGGCACTGAAACAGCTGCTTACAGCTGCGAGCAGAGCACAGTTCCCATCGCCTCACGCGGGGCGCTCGATGACTGGTGAGGTAACTTACACCTCCACACGCTGAAGGAGAATTACGTTGTATCCAACATGACAAATGCTGTGGCCCAAATTTCCAACTTGTATAAAACAACGATATTGCAGCAAATTCACCCGGATCTTTTCAGCGTTTAGAAAACAAACTCTGTACATTCAAAAGAAATGTACAGAGAGCTGTACATTTCTAGAAGAGCTTTATGTTTGCGTTTATCCTCACTATGAGGCTATCATGCCATGCAGGGAGGGACCAGCACAGGGACCCAACAGCACAAAAGTGCCTGGCCGGGGCCAGCCCCCTTGCAACACCAACAGCGAAGGGCTCAAACAAGGTTGCCTCATCTCTTCTCATGTCAGTGACAGCCACACGGAGCACTCTGCACAACTGTCACCCACTCGGAGGGGAGCGAGGCTCCTGGTAGGGGTATAAAAGCAGGGAAGCACGTAAGAGAGCTGAGCGCACTGCAGAGAGAAACATACTTTAAGCAAAATATTTATAATACGATCCAGTGGTAATAGTTATTCTCACGCTCTGCTTTCTCAGTGCAATGATGCAAAACAAATGTGTACTTAACTTACAAAACAAAAAAAAAAAGAAAAAGAAAGAAAAAAGAAAAAAAGCTGAAAAGCGCTCCCACTTCAGAGAGCAGCTGTGGAAGCTGCGGAGTCTTTACAGCTGTAAATCTCTGGGTTTTAGGGAATTTCAGTGCTGGTGAGCTACAAAATAGCTACAGCACAAGTAGCTTAGAAGACATTTCCCCAGCACCGAGCCAGGAATTGGCTAAGGCCACAGCCCAGGAAGCACATGCCTGGGCACTGCTACCCTGCGGAAGGAGGCAGAGGGAAAGCCACGCTCCTGCTCTGAGAATGGGACAGTTCAGCTCACACCAGCTGCCACCACAGCCACCAACCGCGGCGAACTCGGCGCAGGACTCTTACCGTCAGCGGGGCTGAGGCCCCTGGCCGCCGAGATGACGGAGAGGGTCGGGCTGCTGTGCACGGAGCGGAGGTAGTGTTCCATGTGCGGGGCCACGTAGGGGTGCGGCGGGCTGAACGGAGACTCCCCGGGGCCCGCCGGGTGCGGGGACAGGCGGATGAGGGAGATGTCGGAGATGACGGGGCTGCCGCTCAGGGCAGGAGGCCTGGGAAGGAAACAGAGACACGGCCATCACCTACAACAGCTCTGGCTTCTCCTCAGGGATGAGCTCTGCAGTCTGGCAGTCTCTACTGCAGCTCACTTCGATCCTACTTACGTGTCTGTGCCTCAAGCTGGCCTAAAAACTCTCATGAGATGGCTAAAGAGAAAACGCGACCTACAGCAGAGGGCTGGGACCGCTTGGCACCATCCATGGCCCTTCTGCTGTGTAAGGTGGCCCCATTTCCATGGGAGCAGAATGTCCCCTGCCATCAGTGTGAGCCCCAGCGCTGGGTGTCATCAGCACTGCTCATGTGCCCCGAGCAGGTGCTGCGCAAGGCAGAGGCATTAAATCTTCACGGGACTCCTTCTCCCACCTCTGAACTTCAGATGGGAGATGAAGAGCCCATCACTAGCTCCTGCTGTGGCCAGGAAAGGGGGAGTCATCTCCTTTGCTCTCTGTTAAATCAAACAGTGTTGATGAGAACGTGAACTCGTCAGGGCTAGGAGGGGAGACTGTGCACAGGAGCTCGGCAGCAGCTTCGCTTCACTGGTGAGGCAGGCAGCACACCCCTCCTCCAAGCTCAGAGCAGCCTGGCAGAGCCAGGAGAAGACAGCAAGCGCAGAGCCAGCCTAAATCCCAAAGTTACTGTGAGCAGAGGGAGCACGTGGGAAGGGCAGATGCTCCCTGGGGCCATGCAGGTGACTCCCAGATGTGGCTCGGGCTGATCTAAGGATTCGGTGGTGCCAAGAAGGCCACCCAGTGCCCGTCACACATCCACCCCTTTTGCTGGCCACGGCACTTGTGCGGCTGCACGGTCAGCTGGCCCCGGGAGCTGACCTGGCTGACAGCAGAAAGGGGGAAGCCAAAGCACGTGGCTGCAGAGGTAGGCGATGGCAGCAAAAACTGCCCTTAAAACAGCGTAAGCTTCCTGTGAAACTGCGCCCCTAGCACGCTCCCTGCAAAGCAGCTCACCCCACCTGGACTGCATTTAAAAGGCACACGGCTGGCATCCAGGCCAGGAACACCACGTACACAAGGTGGCTATGCGGAGTACGTCCTGTGCGATCCAGCTAGGCCCCTCTCACTGCACAGAGAGGCTGAATCGACAAAGATGCTCAATGTGAAATCAGCTGTTTGTAGCCTCCTTGCTGCTGCAGGCTATCCAGAGCTTTAGCCCTCCCATGGGGACAGAGCCTCCACTTTGGGATGTCTGTGTGAGGAAGGAGGCAAAGGGCGCAAGGAGTGCTTATATGGCCTGAAGTGCAGCGAGCTCCAGGTTGAGCTGTGCACAACAGCCATTTAAATGCTGCCCCTAGCACTGTTCTCCTCTTGCCCTACTTCCAGCAGGAAGCTTCCTGCCTCCGCAATCAGCTCTGTGCCTGGGGGTCCCACTGAACACTGAAGGCCCATGGAGCTGGTCCCACCATCTCCCTCCCTCTCTGTCACGAGCCGCACGACCCAGTGTCACGGGCTCGGGCCATGCGGCCGCCCGTAACCCACCCGTCACTTCAGTCACTGCTTTCATAAACCTCCTTGACAGGTCGGCCATACGGGTCAGAGGGCAAAAGTTCAGGAGGGATTTTACTGAGCACTTGCTGGGGGGCACCTCTGTTAAATCCCTCGCATCTTCCTCTGGCCAAACGCTACCTGAGAAGGATGTCAGTAAATGCTGTGGGATTCAGCAGATAAGCTAAAAACCAATCTGGGGTGCACTTCAGCACCAAAGCCAATTAGTCATGGGGATCAAGCATGGAAGAGAAACCATGGGGAGCTCTCCCAGACACGTACATTACTGTATCCACCAACTTTTTTTAGGAAAATCACGAAGGACACAAGAAGAGAATTCAAAACTGAAAGAGAAAAGTTTCCTTCTGCATTAGATCTCTTTTTGCTTCCGTATTGACTGGAATGGAGTCGGTGTGGAAACATTAGTCATGCCAGGGATAGGATTTGTCCCTCACCCTGCGCTATGGAGAAGCCAAGAGGTGGGACACAGGCCCCGAGGCCCTGTGCCTGGGTACGGTGGATGCGGCTGATCTAACGGATGGCACTAGAGGTTCTTCCTGAAGGATATCCCTAAATACCATTAACAACTGTGCGTATGATCCATGTCTCTACCCACAGCTAACCATGAACACGAGAGTCTGAGCAGTTTAGACACGCCACTCGAACCTTGAGATCCAGGCCCCAGTCTACGTTATCAACAGCTCAGGTGCATTTTAATTTATTTATAATATGTGCATATCATCAAAACCGCACAGAAATGTAACATAAGCTTTCCAGACTTATTCAGCAGTTTATGAGCATGTTTGTCTTTGTTTGATCTTCTGTGTGTTTCTCTGTCTTTCTGATAAATTAGTAAACCTTGTGGCTTTCTGAACACTTTTTGCTGATGGGTAGTAAATTAAATGCCTTTTAAAATATTTACAGTTCAAAGTACTTTCCTGTAGCAATACACCCTGTGGCTCATTGGTGTAAAATACAAGGCAGTGAAAACCTATCATATATAACGATCAGTAAGCAACTTATAGAGATATGCAGTCCCCTACGCATACCCCTTAAGCAGCCTGAGGCCCGAGTTTCCCCAGTGTCGACACCCGCAGAATCAAGTCCCTTTTCTTCCACGACCCCAAAAGACAAACTTAGGATCGCATAGCTATTTCCAACCTGGTAACCTCCCCGCTGTGTCACTATGCCATTTTGCTACCAAAATTACGGGGCAGCCCATGCGTTGCTTCCC